GCCCCAGCCCCCACCAAACCCAACGCACCCCTCACCCCCGACACTCCCACCCCTGACCTTGATTATGTTCCCCCTCTTCTTGTCCACCACCAGGCCCCTCATCATGAAGGAGTAGTCAAAGGACAGCCCATACAGGGAGGAGGGGTAGCCAAACGCGCGCACAAGCTTGTCCACCGTCTCCCTGGGGGTGGAGGGCCGAGGGCAGCGCAATCAGATCAGATCGCAGCGGCGGCCCCGTCAGTGAGCTGAGAGAGAGGAGCGGCGACCCAGCGTGCGCTGCGTTGCCGTCACGTGAGCGTGCAAAGGGGCCCACGCTGCTGCCCTGCGGCGCTGCTGCAGCGCATCTTACATGGTTGCGCAGCTGTGCTTGCACTTTGATGCCAACACCATGCGCAGGCCTTCTCCGACCCAGCAACGCCCAACTGTGTCTGACTCTACAAAACCCACACTGGTCAGCGCAAGCTCAAGGCATCAGGACAACCCCTGATCCCCAGGCCCTGCAACCAGGGCGCCCACCTGTAAGCAAGCTCCTCAAACGCCTTGGGCTTGTACTGTGCGATCTGAGGGTGCGGGTAAAGCCAGGGTTCGCAGGCACGCTGGTCATGCACCAATTCGGCGCTGGCAGCAACGCATGCTCACGGCCAGTCGTGGCAGGGCCTGCATGGGTCACTTCGCCTCCAATCGCATCCCGTTGGGTTGCTGAACACGACCGGACGGCAGCTGCTGCTCGTGCGGTCCCGCAGGCACAGGGGGCGGGCCGCTGTTGCGGCTTGTGCGCGCGGCTGCGCCGCTGCAGCTCTGGACAGCCGCGTCCCGCCGCAAGCATCATGGTTTGATGGCTTGGGTGCTCGGGTGCTGATGCGGCGCGGCCATACCCTGCTTTGACTGCAGCAGCACCCTGGAACGCCGCTAATTGTCACCGTTCCCCTCACCGTGTAATCCATGTCAAAGCCGATGGCCTGGAAACAGTGTGGCAAAAAGTTTGGGGTGCAGGGGTTGATGGTTACTAATCCTGGTAGGCCACAGGCCACGCTGACACACAGCCGCAGCTCCATGTTTGGGAGACCGCAGCCTAAATGCACTCCACGACAGCACCGGCGCTGCCAACGAAAGCGCTCAGCGAGCCTTGGCGCTTTGAAAACCCGTACAGCATGCCACCGCAGCACGCATGAGCTTCCATTGCTTGCCGCCTGCGCTGCCCCGCCGCGCCCCACCTTGATCTGTTTCATGTTGAGTGACCTGTTGCAGAAGATCTGGCGCCGAAGCTCAATCGGCTGCTCTGCCCCGCCAGCCCCCTGCTCCTGCTCGCACCACAGCGGCTCGCGCTGCGAGGGGGGCGCCGGGATCTCCAGGCAGCAGCTGGCCGCCGGCGCATGCTCCAGCTGCTGCAGTGGCGCATCAGGCAGGGGGGGTCGAAGGGGGGCAGGCTCGCCAGGTCAGCAGGCGGGCCAGGTGTGCTCTGGCTTGAGGTGAGGCAACTGCACAGGGGCGCAGCTCGCAGTCAGCTGACGCGTCAGCTGTGGAGGCCGCCGACCGGCACTGGCTGCTGGCGCCCCTGCCTCACCTGCGCCAGCACCGCGGCGGGGGCTGCGGCGCGGGGCCGCGGCCATCCAGCGAGGACGGACGGTGCTGTGACCCTGCACGACACGCACCATCAATGAGTCGCATGAGCAGCAGGTAGTGCCATGCACGTTGAGCCCAGCAGTCACGGTCCAGTTGGGGCGGTTCGAAAAAATCCCGCGTCCAACCCTGGGGCAACCCGCGGCGCTTGGCGGTGCGCGCGCGCGGGCACGCCTCGGCTTGCTGTGAGCACCTTGGCCTCCGCGCGGGCCTAGAAACCTTTGGTGCGCGCAGAAGGACGTTGCCGCCCACGCGCACGAGAGGGGTGCCCGCGCAAGGCATAAGACCTCCAGATGCTAACGCTTGAGACAAGCCCATGGGAGGTGAAGGTCACGTAAAATTCACTAGCTACCGAGTGGTGTTTTATTTATGCTCCACAGCGAGATGATCTGTCGCGATTTGACCCTCGTGGGTCACCCACTCACCAGTGCTGTGCGTTGCTGACTTTGCGATGAGAGGACGTCCTATGTCGTTTCAGCAGTTTGTCGCGACCTTTACCTGTAACTCTTCGCCACGCTTACGCTCACGATCCACGATCTTGCTTCCGAGCGCAGTGGAGAGGCGCGCCAATCATTGCTGAGGGAAGGCGACAGGCTGACGTGTAGCACAAGGAAGCTTGCAGACTCGGCGCACACGAAACAGAGGGTGCCTCCTGGGCGCATTCCAAGGCCAGCGGCGGTGCAAGGCGGCCTGCGCCACCACTGCTAGCAGCCGCGCAGCAGGGGAGCGTTCACGCAGCATGGAAAGGGCCAGGCAGATGCTGAAGACGTACGGCCGTGCGGGCACAGTCACCTACCTCGCACTCTCGTCCCTCGTAACGACGGGTGCGTTAGCCAAAATCCGCCGCCTCGGGGATGTGCATGCTTGCAGCAGTATTGCGACCTTGGTGAATCGGGCATCACTTTACCATTCCGCAGACGCAGCAGCCCGGGGTTTGGCAGCTTGTCCCGTGTTCCTTGGAAGCCCAACTGCACCAGCTCATGCCCCTTGCTGCACCCCAACCGCCACGCACCTGCCGAAACCGCTGCTTAGGCTTCTACATCGCCATCCAGCAAAATGTGGACGTGAAAAAGCTCGTTGGTATCAAGGGTGGGTGCGCGCCCTGCCGCCCCACACAGCCGAGCGGCTGCGCTGTCGCTCCCTGCGGCCGCCACCCAGCCGGCGAGGTCTCCTCTTGGCCTCCGTTGCGGTTTGCTTTCCAATATGTCCCTGCAGCCCCTCTCTATGTTGCTTCATGGCACCTGACGCGCCTGCGCCCCCTGCTCGCGTGCCCGCCACCCCGCCGCCTGCACCCTCCCAGAGGATGATCCCGAGGCAGAGCCCTCGGGGCTGCAGAAGCTGCTGCTGGGCCCGGGGTCGCACGTTCTGCTCGCTGTCATGTGCAGCAAGGCCTGCATACCCCTGAAGCTGCCCGTGGCGGTGGCGCTTACGCCCTACGTGCACAGGTGCGGGGGCTACGGGAGGGTCGGCGGGTTTCAGCTCTGGGCGGCTGGCACAAACTCGCACGATTTCGCATTGCGCCGTGCAACACCATACTTGTCATGGTTTTTGTACCACTATCACGACTCATTCTCATCATGCCTTGCTCCTCCCATTGATCAGGCTGGAGGTGCGGCTTCTGGAGCGGTTGGCGGCTTCTAAAAAGTGAAGCCAATTCCAGGCGCCTGCCCCCCCCCTCCTGCCCCCGTATGCGGAGCCGTACAGCAACGCAGCGGAGGCGGTGCCATGCGCGATGCCGGCGTCGGGCGTGTGGTGGGCGCTGGTTCCCCCCAGGGAAGCAGGCCTGTGGGGCCGCAGCTGCTGCAATACGCAGCTGGTTCGCTGTCCCTCCTGTAAAATGGTGGGTGTCTCATGCACCTGACAGCCTTGCGATATAAGTTGCTCAGCAAGCAGGGTGCAGGAGAGCAGTACCGGAGCCTGCGCTCGTCGCTGGGCTGGGGTTCAGACGAAGGTGACAGTCGGCCAAAGCTGAGCAGGAGATGCCCGCCGCCGTCACAGCGCAGGAGGTCTTTGCTATGGAGGAAACAAGCAGCGCTGTGCGTGCTGACCTCGTCAGTACCTACGCCATCCTCGGCCCCTGCCGCCGCGCCTGGACCCCGCCACGACCTTTCGGTCAGGCACCGGCTCCTGGGGCGCCGCCGCCTCCGCCGCCTCGGCCGCGTCTGAGCTGGCTGCCGCGGCGCCCTCCTGGGTGGGCGCCATCGCCGGCGCAACATCCGCGGGCAGCGTGCCGGCTGCGCCCGCATCGCTGCACACCCCAAGGCCCTGGGTCGCCTCCAACAACGCCGGTTGCGGCCCGCCCGCAGCCGACGCCTCGTCTACCCCTTTTACAGGCTGGGCGTCCGCCGCTGGCCCCACTGGCTGCGCGGGAGGCTCGGCCACACTGCCCGGCCGCAGCGGGCCCCCCTCGTCGCCCCCGCCGGCCTCCCAGGCCGTCGTGTGCTCAGGCGCATGCCAGAGCAGCAGCCCCGATCGCTCCACGCGCCGGTATGCGTCGTATGCGGCGCGCTCCGCTGCGGACAGCTTCATACGCACGTTGCCGGCGCCACCGCCGCCGCTGCCGCTCCCTGCACCCCCAGCACCCCCGCCCCCGCCGCTGCCGGCCCGGGCCACGCCGCTGGGGTTGCGCGGCACCCGGCCTGCCCACACCGCGGCGGCTGCAGTGGCGCCGCCGGCCCCAGACCCGGCGCCAGCGGCCGCAGGCGCAGGTGCCGCTGTTGCACCGAAATCAAACGGCTGGCTACCGCCAGAAGGACCCACTGCGAAGCCGCTGCCGCCGCGACCAAGCAGAGCCCCTTGGGCCGCCGCTGCTTGCGTCGATTCTCGGCTCCCCAGCGCTGCATGAATTGGGGCGCCTCCAGGCGACTGGCTGCCCACCTGAGACCAGAGAGCCCCCATCCTGGCGACGGGCTGCCGCACCTGGCAGCCTGGGGACCCATCCTTGTCAACGCGCCGCCGCTTCCCATCGGGCGTGGTGCCGGCGCTGCCGCCGCCATCGCCGGCGTGCTGCAGGGACGTTGCGGCCGCCGCTGATATGCCCAGGTGCGGGTTGCGCTCTGCCAGCAGCGCGCCGAGCGCCGCGTGCAGCTGGCGCGCGGCGCCCTCGAACGCGGCGCTGCGCTGGGAAGCTCCTTGCAGCGCAGCCTGCAGCTGCAGCCGCCGCTGGTCCGTCTCGCGGTGGTGCTGGACGAGCAGCTGGACGATGCCTGATGCGAGGTCAAAAGGATGTTGTGAGGGGCAGGGCAGCAATTGTCTATGGGATAGCTGGCGGGACGAGACAATGTTATGAGAGGCCAAGGGAGCATCAATTGGATCATGGCCGCGGCAGCTGGGCCCCATGGATCCAGCCTCTGCTACTGAGCCCTTGGAGTGATGTGCCTGCCCCCCCCCCAAAAAAACTCGATCCTACTAGCAAATAGAGTCTGGCGCACGTTTGAGTATTGTGTCGGCCTCTGGCCGCCCCATGGTGCGCATGGTCCCGTCTGGGGGCAGCCTGGCAAGAAAGAGGCGGGCCGGGGCTGGGGGTGCTGAATCGTTCATGACTGTGACATGATCCGCCACGCACACTTGGTTGGGTGCATGCAGGTGGCCCGTGCGGCAGCCCACAGCTGGGTTGGCGCCTTGCGGCCCACCTGAATGGCATGGGGTCAGAGCAGATGCCTGGCGCCTCAACTGTGGTGTCGAGGTGCAGCTGCTCCTCCCTCGCACCTGCGCAGGGCGCGGGGCCGTGAGCGCATCGCGAATGCTTGGGTCACATTGTAGGAGCATCACCCGTACAGGGTGGGCTGACAATGGCCGCTGTCAGCTCACAGGTTCGGGGGGGAGGGGCAGCCCAAAACAGGCGAGCCCTCGCCCGTCTTCTGGATCGTCGTCCAGAACCCAGCGCCTCCCTTGTGGCGGAGCGCAGTGGGGCCAAGCGTGCCCCTGGAGCTGCGCACCGAATTTGAAGACCATCTCTCGGTCTGTGTCCAGCGCCAGCGCCAGGCACTGCGCCATCACGGGCAGGTCCAGGCCGATGCCTGCCTGCGGGGGTTGTCGTGCGTGGATTGGGTGCATCGATGGGGTTTGCGTCAGGCCACCCGCGGCGTGCGCCATGGGCGCCACGGCGCCCATCCGTGCGCTCCAGCCGCTGGCCTGTGGCGACATGCAACGCTGCGGGTCGAGCACCTGCAGGCTGCACGCCCGCCTTGCCCCGCCAGCATTCCCAGGTCCGCACCAGCAGCGCGCTTCTGGCCCTGCCGGCCTGCCTGCCACCAAGCCATCAGATCTCGCCAGCCATGCTGATCGCGTGCACGTTGCATACAAGCCGCATGCACACCACATGCACCCCGCATGCACCCCGCATGCACCCCGCATGCAATCCATATTGATTTCGCCTACCTGCACCAGCATGTCCGACACATCTTCGCTGGTGAACTCAGCGCTCCAGCCAAACGGCCCCATGTCAGAGATGCTCAAGCGGCTGCAATTATGCGGTGCGTGCGCAGATGGAGGCTGTGAGTGACATGTCAGAGCTGCAGGTGCGGCAGAGGGCAATCTGGGGAGGGATGGGGACGGGCATGGGGTACGAGCCCAGCTCTGGGGTGACGCCCCAAGCTGCTCACAACAAGGCTTCGCCGCTGTCACCGGCCTGGGTGCCCTCCAGGCAGAGGAGATAGGTGGTGCCATCCCCTAGGTTGTATGTTCTGAAGTAAGGGTAGCCGGGCAGCACGCTGGCCATGCCGGCCTGGTCCATGACGCCCGCGTGCTGCAAGCGAGTGTGCGAGCGCCACGGCTTCGCCCCCCACGGATGTCCCGATGCTGTTGGGGGCGATTAAGCTGGTTAGGCAGTTACAGCAATTAACTCGCATGGTTGACGTACTACTGAACTCATACAAATTCTGAATTTTGATGACATTTGCTCCTGATCCACAGCTAGATCGTGTTGGGTTTGGCAGGCCCACAGCTGTATGAACGATAGCGGCCTGAAACACGTGTGATGAAATTTGACACATACGGGCATATCATTGCGGCCAAAGCCCCGGAATGGCACCCCCCGCCGCAGCAGCTGCACCCC